GTTAAAATGGGGTACCCCATTTTTAACTACTTTATTTTAAGCTTGGTTTTCATAACTCTTAAGACAGTCATTTTATTTATGTATGATGTGTTTACTAATTAAAACTAAATAAAAGAATATAAYGAAAAGAAATATTAATTTTAAGGACATTTTAACTATTCCCCATTTTACCCAACCAAGTACCCCATKTTAACCTACCATTYGGCTAAAATGGGGMAAAATACAATTTTTTTTTTWAAATAAAAAAATAAAACAACTATTAGATGACTATACAATTTGATTACATAGATGTTTAGTGTACATATTAAAGAAAGTTCTTTGGTTTAGAAAAGTTCATAAAGTTCAACAGTTTAAGGGGTGAAGGCTATTTTCCCTTATGGTCCCCATTTTACCCACCTTTCCCCTATTCAAACATGCCTCATAAGGGTATCACGCTGTCCGACGTATTATAGAAGAATCTACGTACTTCCGTAGGATAAAAAAGGTTTTTTCATCATAATACCTACACAAGTACGTCGTTGACGGATATGTCAGAGGTACAACCAGAACTGAACTTGTCAATAGTATGACGTGTAATACACATGCCATACTACTTACGAAATTATACGACTGATTAGTATCAACAGAAAAAATTGCATCTACGTCCTAGCCCATCTGCCATATGATCCAATCTTTTCAGATTACGTAATAAAACAAGCAAGAACGATGATTTTAAGAGGACGTCAGTGCACTATTTGTTTTCTCTCTCTGACCCACGCGTAACATAGACAAAACGCATTTACGAAGAATCATTTTTTCTATGTCTTTAAATAATTTCAGAGTAAATCCTTCCTGCATTACAAAAAAGATAAAGAATAACATTTTTGAGGGAATGACATATCGATTTTATATTTTATTGATATTTVACTTTGTATTCRRCYTTCAAAATAAAYAAAAAAATACTGTACATTTAAATAATGTTTAAATTATTTAGAGACAATATTTAGACAAATCGATATGTCATTTCCTCAAAAATATTATTTTCTAACTTTTTTGAAATGGGAGGTTTTACTCTAAAATTACTTCAAGATATAGAAAAAATGATTCCGCGTATATTATGTGCGTTTTGTCTATGTTACGAGTGAGCCAGAAAAAGAAAACAAATAGTGCGCTGACATCATMTTAACTTCAAATCTAGGTACCTATTTAAGTTCCCCGTAAGAATTATTACAATATAATACCTACTGAACGATATTTCATATAATTGTATATTTGTATTGAGATACAAGATACAGTTGTATCTAATAGACGTATGTCAGAATATATCGGTCAGTCGGAAATGGGACTTTTTGGCGCTGCCATTTCGACGCTGCCGTTTCGGCGATAATGACAAAAAATATACATATTATAATGAAAATTATTTTTAGTGTAAAAAATGATGCCAAATGATGGAATAAGCGAACAGTTCTTATTAGCAGATAGTGGGCAAGAATCAGATAGGATCTTAATATTTGGCCGACTTAGTGGACTAAAAATATAGAAAAATTCCCGAACCTGGTACTATGACAGCACTTTTAGAATTTCTCCATTATTATTTTCTCAGGTTTATATTATTTTGGCGGAAACATTAGGAGGTGTACACCCGATAATTTATGCACTACTATTCCAAGCAAAAAGGCTAGTGTTTATGAAAAATTATTAAATATGTTAAAAACGCTTGAACCAGATTTAAATCCAGACTCGATTTCTTATGATTTCGAACTTGCTGCTTTTACAGCTATAAAAGATGCATTCACTAATATACAAATATTTGGATGTTATTTTCGCTTATGCCAAAACTTTCGGTCTAAATTAGGTGAGCTACATATAATATCTCGTTATAAAATGAGCCTGAATTTTGCATACACGTAAAAAGTATTATCGCATTAGCTTTCGTTCCTATATCAGATCTTGATGATGCGCTAGATATTTTATCAGAAAGTTTACCCGAGGAACTTATAGATTTATTCGAGGACTTTTATATTGGTCGGAAAAATCGTAGTGGTGAAGGTCAACGGCCTGCACGATTTTCTCCGGCAATGTGGAATTTATACGAACGTGTATTGACAAATAAAGACCGTACAAATAACCATGCTGAAGCGGTGAATAGAAGATTAAATCAGTTAATGACAAACAATCCTAGAATTTGGGCTTTTATAGGTAAATACATTACTTAAAATACAAGTAGGAACGGATACACAGTATGAGCATTTGGTAACGGGTAATAGTCCACGGAAAAAGATTTAAAAAATTAGAGACACAGACAATCGTATTTATAAACTAGTTGATATAGATACGATAAAAATGACATAAAGTCGACAAATAGTCGATGTATTCTATTATAATAAATCGTTTGTTTGTACTCGTGGCAACGACTTAAAATGATTAACTATAACTCAAGGCAACGATTTATGAACAAAAATTTCGATCTGAATTTTATGAAAATTTATAATAATTGAAAACTCCTTTGTTTATCAAGTTGGAGAATCGATGAAATGCATAAACCTTCTACGCAATGAGCTCTTTAATTTAAAAATAAAAAATCATAACGATCGGTTCAGTAGTTTCCGAGAACATATCACTCATCCGAGTTTTGTTTTAATTTTCACATTTATATATAAAGATTATTAAAAATTTTCAAATCATAGATTTAAAAAGAAAATTTTTTATGAATTTCTAATTTAAAATAATTTGCGAATTATTCAGTGAAAATTTTAAGTATCTGCGGTCATTTGTTTTAGAGTTACACCAAAATAAGAAAATCACTAAATGTGAAATCCAGTGAAAATCCAATGTTGTAAAAATTTAAATTTCAAACGCTCATAAAAATTTTATTTGAATTTCCGGTGGACATTTTTTTTGTGATAAAGATTGACAAACTTATAA